GTGGACACCTAGCCCACTGAGCTTTCCGGCCTGCATGGGGCCGACCTCAGTCCCACGAGAGATGATTATGTGTGATTGTTTCAAGTTAGTGAGTTTCCTGAGGTAGTTTATATATATATATATATATATATATGTATATGTGTGTGTGTGTATATATATATATGTATGTAGATATATGTGTGTGTATATATGTATATGTATGTAGATATATGTGTGTATATATGTATATGTATGTAGATATATGTGTGTGTATATATGTATATGCATGTAGATATATGTATGTGTATGTGTGTATATATGTATGTGTGTGCATATATATGTATGTGTGTGTGTGTGTGTATATATATATATATATGTAGAGAGAGAGAGAGAGATAGAGAGAGAGAGAGTGTCATAGCAGACAATCCATGATGATTGGTTAAAACAAAGAATGAACTAATGCATAATCTAAATGTGACCTTTCAGGAGAGAGAATTGACAAGCTGTATTTCTCAAAAGTAGCTAGAATGGGAGATTTCTTTTGAGGCAAAGCAACAACAAGAACAACAACAACAACAGAGGGATTGCTGAAATACTAATTTGAGAAACACTGAATTAGATGTTGGAAATGGTTATCTTGTACCCTTTTATTTTTATGAGGGTCTACTGGCCCAGTGGTAAGAAGCTGCTCTGCAATCCCAAAGGCACACTGTTTGAATCCCCAGCTGCTCTGCAGGGGAAGGATGGGCAATCTCCTCCCGTGCAATTTATTGCCTCTGAAAGCCTGCTGGAGGGTCAGCTGAGTCGATGGCACATGACAGCGACAACCACCATCACCCCCTCCCCTTCTTTTTCATGTTACTGGTAAGAGAAAGGCAAGGCCCATACAGCTGAACAGTGTTGTTGAAGAAAACAAAATGAACTGCTAGAGACCAAGACCATCTATGAACTAATTTCCTTTTCTATCTAAGACTAAGGGCTGTGGACAAAATGGTTTCTCTCATGTCGCTAGCTAATTAAATATCAGGCTTCTCTCTAGGTAGTCCTCTCTGCTCCGTGATAAAGTCTAGGAGTCCAATTAACCGTTTCCCGAGAGGCCTCTCTTAAAACGGTAGACTTTCAGTGAGGATGGAAGAATATGCATTAGCCTGAAGTTTTGAGGAAGATTTCACTCGAAGGCCAGTAGCATCTATAGCAACACAGTGGGCCTTTCATTTCCTCACATTTGCCTGGTAGAAATCTTTGCTTATGAAATGGAACGGTTTAGAAAGAGGATTTTTCAAATTAAGTAGTTACTGTTGAGGGGTGCAGATCCCAGAATTCTTTCGGTCTTGTAGCAGATTTCTTTCATGAGAGGTTAATGATAGCTGATTACTTAAAAATGGAGGTTTACCACAGGGAAATGTCAGAAATTCAAGCTGAATTCAGAGAAGGCCATACAACAAGGCCACAGACCATGTCATAGGAATCATGCCTAAAAGCTGATTATATGAGAAAGATGTTTACTTGTTTTTTACTATGTATAGATATTTTAATTTGGGGTAATTCTGAGGGAAAACAATGGGAATTTCAGTACTTAAATGTGCTCATTAGAAATCTATACATGGGAAAGATTCAGTGTGAAAAACAACATATTCCAACTTTGTAAATAAATCTCTATTAAAAAAAATGGAGGTTTTATCGGCTTTTAAAACAATGCAATGGAAAATGCTGGTACTAGACAGGTAAAAATCTGGGTGTTCAGTTTCTACTTTTGAGATGTCATTAGAACCTCTGCAGCCTCCTAATCAAGTCTCCACATCCGAAACCACTTCAATTGTTAAAAAAAAGTTTTATCTAATTATCTTCTTTTCCTACTTTGAATGGGCCAACTATGTTTCTTTTTCTGGTTTTATCAAAGGGGCTACCATGACAAAAGCACATCCAATTTTAAGTAGGCTTTAGTTAGCCGACTTAAAATTGATCATGTATTTTAGTTTCAGTAACTTGCAATTTCCACACCCTTTGATAATTCGCTTTAAAGAGCCAACCTCCTTTAATGACGAAGCTTAAAAGAGACGACCTTTCTGAACAAGATATGAAAGCGGAGAAGAGATAGTTCTTTTAAAGAAACTATGAATTAAAATGACCTTGTGTTCTGAAACTTTTCTCCCATCATTTTTGATGTTTTACCTTTCCTTTTTACTCTTGGAAAGAAAGTGAAGCCACCCCTGCCTTCTACGGATGGTGGTGTGCTTCAATCAGGGAGCTGTTAATTGTTAATTCAAACCCCCAGTTTCTTCTTTCTGCACTTTCTCTGTGGATTCCTTTAATGAGGTTGCTCACCATGATGTGCATATATCCCCGTTTCTGAAGCAATGGCTGTTAATTTGTGACATTTCTGGATAATGTCTGCATCTGAGCTATTTCCCTCCAGTCACGGGCAATTCTTTGCCCAAACTATGGAGCAAGTCATCTAGCTAGTTCCCCCATCAGTCTATCTCTTCCTCCACTGTGCCCTTGGGGGGGCTGCCCTCTGAGGAGTTCATCATTGGGTGGGGAGGGTGCAGAATCAGAGGTCAGAGACCTGAACAGTCTCTGCTTGGTGACGTAGAAATGGGAGACTCCAACAATGGTATGACATGTGATGTGACAGCACAGGTAATGCTCTCCTGACTCCAACGCCACTCCAGATCCGGGCCTTTCCTCGGCCTCACCTTGTCCCCCGTGTTTGATCCGCTCCTACCTGTTGACAATTACGTGTTGAAATGCAAAAAGCACAGGTGGACGATTCATGTACAGCAGCCAAGAATAATACCTTGAGATGGAGCTAAAGTAGGGTACAACTGATGAACAATTGATCTTCCACAGATAAAAGGAGGGATGGCATCTTAGATGATTTTATAATAAGGCCCAATGTTTATAATTCATTTCCTCAGCACCTGTTTTCCCTCCCAGTAGCCATTTATATACTCAGTACCCAATTCAGCAAGGAATTTCAAACATGCCAAAATCCACTTTCTTTTCCTTTAGCCAAAGCCTTCCCCAACCACACGAGCGTCGCCACCTCTCCCTACCACCTACAATCCTGAGGACTTAAAGTTTCATTGTGTTTACTCTCAGCCACGTATCACACACTCGGGGAGGGAAACAGGATCTGTGCAATGTCAAAGGTTCACCAGTGTTTGTAATTGCATAACCCTGGAAATGAGGAAAAGAAAGAGTGGCAGGCAATTTTCCAAAACACCTACTGCTGTTTACTCATGGAAAACAAAAATTTTTGAGTGGGAGTTCCAACGTGAGCAGACAATACAATTCACAAAAGTATTTTCACTCCAAGCAGCTAACAAATAACCTTACTTAATGAAATCTTCTGAGCTATAACCTGTTTTTCACCGTCTGTACAGAAGTAACTAAAACGAATCTGGGAGCCTTACTTTTCCTTTCCCTTTTGCGTACGCAATCACAGACCAGGGACCAACTGTCCTCATGGGGTAGGTTGTTTGAATGGTACATGCCACAATTTTCTAATTCACTCCCCCCTCTCTTTAACTTGGTGCTGTAATTACTATACATGGAAGAATTGATCTTTTCAGAAAGACAGGAGAGTTGTCCTGCCAATGGAGGGGTCCAGGTGTCAGGGCGAGCCTCTGAGGGTTTACTCCTGCAGCGTGAGGTGATTTAGGGCAAGGGGTCGGTCTCTGACAACCGGCAGCCTGGATGCTGACCCCAGGCCTGGCGGCGGACAGGGCCATAAAACCGGCTGCTTCCTTCTCATCTCTGTGTCTCAGTTACAGGACAAAAAAAAAAAAGGGGGGGTAATTAATCCCTGGGCAGCAAACAACAGAGATGGGCGTGGGAAAGGGGGAAATTTTGGAAAAGGGTAAATAAACTTTCTGCCCTTGCCCTTTTCCAGTAAAGCAGAGCACCACAGCCCTTCCCAGGGGCCAGCTTGTTGGCCAGTGTCTCGGAGGCCCTGTCACATGCACCCCAACGCAGGCCAAGGATGTGGAGCGGCCACTGCTTCCTAGTGGTCCCTCTGCAGCAGGTCAAAGCGGGGTTGACGAGTCTGCAGGCTGCTGCTGCTCTGCCTTGAGGTGGAGACAGACGCAAGTTCAGGCCTCCGGTCACCTGCGCAAAGCTGCCATCTCCCTCACTTCTTAACACCATACCCTCTAGACTGGGAAGCGGCCTCTGGTAAACGGGACCAATTAAACCACATTCCAAAATCACTTGCCAATCGCTTAGTGTCCTCATAACACGACCACTATTTAGGATTTCTTAAAGAGTGTGGATTGTAATGAAAACAGCCACCGCGAAGAGAGTCCAAGAAGAAACAAAGCGACAACGTACACTTCTTACGCTCTGCTGCCTTCAGCGTCCCAGACTGACATGGGCCAGTGGAGGGATTCCCCCTCAATGCCAGCACCATGCACCAATTAAGGATTTAACCTTACCAGACAGAAAGTAGTCATTTCTCTCCTTACACAGTTTAAGACTCTCAGGATTTTGCAAGAAAAGACACACTATGGGGATGCCATGTTTACTGTGACAAATGAAATGCAATAAAAAAAATAGAAATAATATTGATAAATACAAAAGAAAATTTTAATAATACATGAACATGAACATGAAAACAATGTAAACATGTGAAAATTATTTTTTATATGATGCTACAAGCGTGATTTTGATCATATGCAACTGGTAAAATTCTGTGCCAAAGCGTTAACAAGGCAGATTCTTGGGTACCTGTTCTTTTCACAATGCAAGCGATTCTCGGCACACACACACAACGCACACAAATACGGAAATCGGAAGTAAAGGGACGTTAGAAAACTAACTTAGGCAGACAGAAAGCTACCCATTAGTGTGTGAATGGCATGTTTTCAGATCTTCATTCCATATTTTTAAGTCTTAAAAAACACCACTGGTGTCACAGGGTACAAAATCCAAGTCTTCAAACCTGTGGGAAGGTGTCTCTGGGGCCTCCAGACCATGGCATCCACTGCTGACTCCTGTGCAGTTACCTGAAAGCCAAAGTTTCAGTTACCACTTCCGGCAGGTTTAACAGGTCTGCCAAGGTCAAAGTCTTGCTCCAATTCAAGGGAAGCAGCCCTGGTAACACGGGCTAAAACGCCGGGCTGCATGAACCCACCAGCAATTCTGCAGATGGATGTGATGAGCTGCTTTTGTGAAGATCCCAAACTAAAACCATACGCCCTGTCATGAAGTCAACCGTGACCCCATCTCACAACACAGCCGAGCAAAACCCCCCATGGTCTTTGCAAGGCTGCGATTCTGTATGGGCTCCAAGTACCACATTTTTCTCTGGCTGCAGGGTTCAAACCCCCAAACTTTGAGTTTGCAGCAGAATGTTTCACCACCGCATCGCCAAGTTTCCTCTGCAAGCACTCACTGTTGTCTCACTGCCGTCAAGTTGGAATGGGGAGATTTCCCACTTTTCTCCCTCAGAGCAGCTGGTGGGATCAAACTGAGCACCTCTGGGCCAGCAGCACAGGCAGCTTTAACTGCCCTGCAGGCCACGGTGAACTGAAACTGACTGACAGGGAATGGGTGGACTGTCGCCCCCTCCCCCCCCATATCCAGAATTGGCTAGAGGGTAAAAACCTGATTTTTGTCACTTATGCCCTGCAGGCCCACTAGTTGAGCAATTAGGCTGTTAACCTAAAGGTCAGTGGTTTGCACCTACAAGCTGCTGCAGAGAAGAAAGATGTGGCAATTGGCTTTCACACAGATTGTTGTAATGTGCCCTCAAGTTGGAACCAACTCATTGCTGCCCCTCCGAGAGGTTTTCAGAGGCTGGACACTGCACGAAAGACTGCCCATTCTCCTCGCGAGGAGCAGCTGGTAGATTTGAACGCTGGGCTTTTGAGTTGGTAAAGCCTTGGAAACCTAACGGGACTGTTCTACTCAGTCGACAGGGTCAGGATGCGCTGAAAGCAACCTGATGCCATTGGCTTTGTTTTGGGGGTTTATGCCTATAAAGGCTCACATGATACAGACACCAAGCAAAACAGAACCTTCTGAAAAGTGAAGGAATTCCCAAGCCCTTTAAGTTCAACGCCCAGGGAGTGGCTCAGTCTGACCACCCACTAGCAGGAAGGTTGTGGGCCTGGGACAGGGAGGTCTCACGCATCCCTGACGCACCAGGGTCGCTGTGAACATTGCGACATCGCTGAGCCATTTCTCTTTTTTGGTTTAGAGAAATCTGCTCTATGGTGCCAAGCCTCCTGGGAGACGGGGCTTTGAAGACAGGGCTAGAGTACTAAGGATTGCATCATCTCACCACCCCAGAGGGAGACAGTGTGTCCTCAGCCTGGCAATGGAGCTTCGAGACCGCACACTGCTGGGTCCCTCGTGGGGCAGGCTGGCTGGACACACACCTGCAGTTTCCTTGGCTCCTCTCGGCTCTGAGGGTGCTGACCCAGCGGGGCGGGGGGGAAGGTGCTGCCTCAAAGACACGTTATTTACTGAAAATCAGTCTGTGTCAGACCCATGTGAACTGCTATTGCGTTTCAGCATTTTCCTAGAGCTCTAACCTCTAGGAGACTCCTGGGGAGGGGACAACTTACAGATTGTATTAACAGATCATTCAGTACCTTCTGCTTTGGTATGTGGTCAGCTCTTCCTGAAGGACGGAGGCTCTCTTCTGCAGAAAGTTCACCTAGGAAAGACACTTCGTATGAGAAGAAGGCAGAGGGGGCATCATGTCAAGACTGCAACTCACATGGTGAGATTTTCTTTCAATTCAGACAACCTCTCAATGTTGCTGTTGTGTTCTAGGCATTTGATTCAGTTGCCTCCCTACTGAACAAGTCTTCAGAGGCCAGAGAACGTAGCCCCTACTCCCCGCTGCGAGGGTGTTCTCAGCTGGCCCCAGCCCTGCTCCATCTTGTGTCACTGTCTTCCCACCTGTACCCTGTGTCTTTCACATCTCTGCTGGAATGTTTCGGTCCCTGCTTCCAACTCCTCCATGATTCAGTGCAATGCCACCTCTTCCAGAGACTGCTGGGATGCATTCAGGCCGGCTATCACCCGCACCTCTGGCAGAGCCCGGGGCTCCTCCTCTGTCTTCTTGGACTCTGTTCTAAGAACCTCCTGTGCTGCTGTGAGGAGATGGGCCTGCATCTGCGTCTCCCAAACCTGACAGCTCTTCTGGGGCGGGCGGGGGTGATGCTCAGGGATCCCCACTCTGCCTCTGTCAGGGCTGGGCACGTGCCTGATATGCCTCAGCTGTTTAATGAATCAAAGAGCAAATGAAGACAAAATGACTGCCTTCTGGAAACCTCGTTCCATCCGTGGCATTCCCGAATATGGAGAGAGAGAGTTTGGCAGGGGAAAACAGCCTGGGCTTTGTCAGGAGTCAGGCCAACCTGGGTTCAATTCTGGCTTGAACTTTCCAGGTTGAAGAAAGTCACTTGAGTTGTTGGTGCTACATCTGTGAAATGGGCTTTAGAACAGCTGCCTCCAAGGTTAGGAAGCTGATGGGAAATGATGGGTGCAAATGCTGAGGGCGGAGCTCACAACACATGCCTCCACTCTTGGGGGGCTGGGAACTGAGGTACCACGTTCTTACCATGGCCTCTTCAAGTGGACCTTTACAGTGTGGCTTGATAATTTTGAAGTTCAAATATCTGTTATTACAGAGACACCTATATCGTGCATAAATTCAAAAGCACTTTACACAGTCAAATGAAAATGGTGTTTGGAGAACTCATACCACAGCTTAATGCAATCAAGAGTCAGTGGTATTTGATCGGTTCAGAATTGTTTACTCTTGCCTCTTTGGTCTCAAATGCAACCATGGCAACGGCTGATCCTGAAACAGAGTTATGCAAGGAGTACAGCTGGTAGAATATACAATGTGCTGGCAAGGGAAGAAAGCCCACCCTTTCTGACGGGCTTCCATCAAAGTGGCCCCCTCAATTTTGCTTATTTGTATTATCACCCTGGTCTTCATTTTTATCCAGTTGCTCAAATGACCCGGAGGACAATTAAAAATTTTGACAGATGCAAGGAGTCCACCGCTCCTGTTCGCTCCCTCCTTCCACCAGGCCTTGGAATTTCAGCAATTCTCAGAAAACACAGGACACCTGTGCTTTCAGGCGCCCTCCACCCACTGGGCCTGGGACTGTTCCCTGAGCTGCCCGTGCGGGGCCCTCAAGCACCGGGCAGTCCGCTCGTCCTGGGTCCACATCCAGTTTTAGGAGGCTGACACGGTTTTTATTACAGTGAAACTGTATGGAAGATAAGAGAAGCCCTGCAGGTGGATATCAGATTTCTCTTCCTCCCCCTCCTTAAAAAAATTCTTGTGAAGGTGCCAGGTCGTCCAAAGCTGACCCTCTGGAAGCCTTCCTACAAAGTTAATTGGTAAACCACACCTCGCCTGGTGGGGAGGTTTTAACGTAAATACAGATCTCCTTTTCTTTGTTAGCAGGATTGCTATATGCAGGAGGAAGCAGTGCAAAGCGTATTAGCAAGGTCAATGGCGACCTAAGTGTCATATAGTAGCATTTACTCTTCAGAGGACTTAGCTGAAAGGCATAGAAAAGGAGCATCCGGAATCTGCTCTTCATTTTTGTCTCCTATTAGGTAGACAAGAGTTACAGGACAGGTGCGGGTCTTCTGTTCACAGAGTTGCTACAAGTTGTGCTCGACTCGATGGCACTTAACAACAACAACCTACTACAGTTAATGTAAATACCATCAAAAGACACCATTTGTTTTCTTTGTAAATATTTTATAATTGAGATACTACTACATTGTGAGGCCCTATTCTTGGCATGAAAGATAAATAGCTTTCCTTGTGTAGCTTTGTCAGGAAAAAGCATTATTTTAAATTTCTAAAGGTATTTACAAATAGGAATAAGTGAACTTTTTCTCATGAATGAGTTAAACAACAGACGAGACAAGCAATATATAAATTATTCAAACACTGCAGACATGCATAGAGAAAATGGCCCAGTGGTAAGAAGCTGTGCTGCAATCCCAAAGGAAGGCAGTTCAAATCCATCAGCTACTCCTGGAGGGACGGCTGGGCAATCTCCTGTGTAATTTACTGCCTCTAAAAACGGCAGAGTTGGTGATGGGTCAGTTTCAACTCAACAGTGTACAACATCATCCAAACTGAAAGGCCACTTCACCCCTCGTGTTCTATTTTATGAACTATTGTATTTTTATGCAGACAATGCACCTTGTATGGTTTTTTTTAAACCCTGCACCCTCCCTGTGTCCTAGACGCCAACGTGTGTGGTGTATATTATATGCAGGTGTGTGTTATAAGTGGAAAGGTGATACACCAAGAACTACACATTTCATCAAGCAATTGTTTGAATAACTAATCACTATTCTTTTGTGAACTTAAAAGATGTCCTGCTATTCCTAACAGCCATTATAAAATACACTATAATCAAAATGCATCTGACTTAACTGTGTTTTCATTTCCCACAAATGCTTGGAAAATGCTTTGATGCAGTGAAGAATCAAATGTGCTCGGTGATGGTATTTTGGGCTTGGAACCAAGAAGAAAAGGGTGAGGTTTTATTGGAATGTGGACTGCAAATGGAATAAAAGTTTTCATAACTGAACTTACCATATTTTTGAGGATCTACTATGGGGACAATAAATTCTTAAAACAAGTAAGAAAAAAATTCCAAGAGAAGGGATGGGTGGTGGGATAAGCCAGGACTTCCCCTTGATTGTACTGGCATCTATTCAGACTCAGACTCATTCCCAAGTTCCTTTTCAGATGATGACATTGGATGCCATCTAAATGGATGGAAAATGTTTTGATTCTATTAACTACCTGAGACTTCAGGGAGGAAATAGTGTCTTCCAGTTCTTGTCTTAGAGATGCTGGCATCAACCCCTTGAATTTCATTTCATATTCTTGTCGGATGTAAGTTATCTAGGATGGAAAAGACATAAAATTCGAGCTTATCTTTTAAATCATGCCAATGAGTAGCTGAATAAAGAAATTCCAGCATCTCTGCTCATCACAGAGGCGAATCTGTTCCACGTGGTCAGAAAGCCGCCACGCAGATGAAATAAGAGAAAACACAGTTACAGAAGGGAAGAAGCAGCCACTTGGCCTGGCCTGTGACTCTGGTCGAGACATTCCCTGTGGCGACACTTCACCCTTTCAAGTTTTCAGCATCTGACAAGTAAACTACCTCTCTCCGCTCAGGCTGCCTGCCGCTGCGCTAACCTTCTTGTGGTCAGGGTGTGGCCCCTGACCACACTGAGCTGTGATCTGAGGAGAATCCGTGGCATGTCTTTGGCCAGGTGCCCCGGGGTGACGGGGATGATACCGATGATTTATGGAGGTAAGAATGACGGCGAGTCTGCACAGCTGTGTCTCGGCGCCTCCTCAACCTCAACACAGGCTGGTGAGGGTGGCCCGGTGTCAGTCACGAGGCACAGATTCAAGGACAGGCTCATCCCACTCGCCGCTCCTCATACTAAAGACACACGTGCCACGGTTGGAAAAAACACCTCCGCAAAACAAAATGCTGAGTAGGAAGCAGAGTGCAGGAGGGTGGGCGTGGGTGTGAGTGTGCACGCTTGGGGTCTTGGTTCAGGTACCTTTCTGAATTCTTCCTCTTAATCTGAGACAGGATGGAACAGATTTACTTCCAAAGTCTCTGGCATGTGTTGAGAGCAACTTTGCACGAAAGGCGCACTGCAGTGTATCTCATAAAGGATTCCCCGATTCACCTGGAAATGTGTAATGGACTATGCAAATATGTGCAGCTGGGTTAGTTGTACAAGCCCCTGGCTTTATGGAACAAAATTTAAAATGACACATAAAATGTAAACCACAATTTTCTTCTTTTTTAAAAATTTTCTTCTTTTTATAACAAGTAAGGAATAAATGTATTCTAATAATGTTCACTGTTGGATAATATCCCTGGAAACTAATCAACATTCTTGGCACCAGTAGTCAGGAAATCAAAAGATAAATTGCACTGGGAAAGTTTGCTGTCAGGGACCCCTCCAGAATCCTGAGGAGTAACAATGTTAATCTAGAGACTAAGGTGCACCTGATCCAGGCCATGGTCTTTGCAATAATTTGCTATGCATTCGAGAGCTGCACAATGACTAAGGATGACAGAAGAATCCATGCCTTTGAGTTGTGGTGCTGGAGAAGAGCACTGAACATACACACTATGGACTGCCAAGAGAACAAGCAGGTCTGAGAGGAAAGAGTGAAGCCAAGTTGTTCTTTGGAGGCAAGGATCTGGAAGCTGGGCATGTTGCCAGTGACCAGACCTTTGAGAAGACATTGTGCTTGGCAGAACGGAGGGATGTCACAGGAGGGGAAGACCATGGAGGAGCTGGATTGTTCCAGTGACTGGGGTAATAACAGGAGGTGTGTTGGAGACCAGTTGGCTCAGGATAGGGTGGGGTTCAGAGTTATTGTTCTTGGGGTTGCAATGAGTCACAGTCAACTAGATGGCACAGAACAACAACAACAACTCACTGTTATATGTTGTCAAATAGATTCCAACTCATAGCAATTATTCTAGGATGTAGCTTCAAAATTCACTGCAAAGGATTTGTTTTTCTTAAGTGAAACATTTTGAGGAACCCTGGATGGCTCACCTCCACAGTGTCTATATTGGTCTCCTAGGACTGTTATAACAAGATACCATAAACTGGGTAACATGTTTGGAAAGGCTGGGAAGGTAGAGTAAGACCCTCAACAAAACAGACTGACACGGTGACTGTAACCACAGGCTCAAGAATATCAGAGGTGATGAGGCTGGCCCAGGACAGGGCAAGGTCGGATCTGCTCTTCACAGGGTTGCCGTGAGTCACAGCTGACTCGACAGCGTTGGTGGCAAAGTGGTTGAGCACTTGGCCAGTAACCAAAATGTGAGCGGTTAAAATCCACCAGAGAACGAAGTGATGGTCTGGTGCTGGCCATTCTCTGTACTTCCATTCATCTACAGCAAAGGAAATCAGGAGGTCCCAGGACAGCATGGTAATATGCTTTTGTAGGATATTAAGGTTTAGAAGCAGGAGTGATATCCACTTCCTAAATAACAGGCCTCCGGAAACTCTGTGAACTTTGATAAATGTCAATAGTTGCAGAGGGGCTTCAAGTCTTTTGTTCACAGGGTCGCTCTGAGTCGTGCTCGACTCGAAGACAATCAACAACAACAAACACAACAACAGGGTATTAAGACCTCTGTGAACTATGGAGATGGTACCGTGTTCACAAAGCTTTAGCCAAGGCAGCAGTGGGCACCAGATAGGTCGCTGTGCTCTGTTCCATGGCCACACGGCCCCTGCCTTTCTCTGAAAGGCCAAAACACTGCCAATGTTTCCTCTAATGTTAGAAACAGAGGATGAAGACCAAGAACTGGGGTTTAATGCTATTTGATGCTATTTAACGAAGGGTGGCCTGATGGGTGAAGGGTGCACTGCTAATGCAAAGGAAGGTGGTTCGAATCCACCAGCTGCTCTGCAGGAGACAGATGGGCAATCTCCTCCCATGTGATTTATAGCCTCTGAAAACACACTGGTTGGTCAGCTATGGATCAGTTCCAGGTTGACAGCAAAGAGTGGAGTTTTATGTAATAAAGCTCATATCATGGGCATAATGCAGGTACTCAGTTCAAACTGACACTGAAAAAAGTCAATTTTAAGAGTCCCTAATTCCATTAATAATATGGTTGAAGGAAGCTCTGGTGGCCTAGTGGTAAGAAGCTGTGCTGCAATCCTGAAGGTGCACAGTTCAAATCCACCAGATGCTCCGCTGGAGAAGGAGGGGGAATCTCCTTCTGTGCCAGTAAAATCTGATTTGAAGGTACACAACAAGAAAAGAAAGAATACATGGTTGAACTAGATTCATACTAATACAGTGGCCATAAGAATGGTCTTGAGCAATAGCAGAGAGGGTAGGGATGGCCCAGGGCAGGACAAGGTTCCAATCTCTTGTTCACAAGGTCACTACGAGTTGCAGTTAACTTGACGGCACCTAACAACAACCCGACAATAAATAAACATGCTGTGTTGTTTCACTTGAAAACCACGACAACTATGCCAATTAACCAAGTCAGTGTGTCAACTTCCTGTTGTGCAATAAAGGAAAATGGGAGCATGTGGCTTTGTAGAAACTTAGGGACGTGCTTGCAAGTTAACATCTGCATGCTGCAATGCACCCAGCAATGCAGTCACGATTGAAAAGGTGAGGGAAGACGGGACCACGTGCTGAAATGCTAGTGCTTCAGACTGTGTGGCTGCTTTTACACCTTTCCACATGGTCATTTCTTACTGTGTTCTGAGGGAAGAGTGAAGCAGTTCAGGAAAGTGGCCTCGTGGGAAAAGAGGTCTGCCAACCCAAAGGCATATGGTTCGAATCCACTAACCTCTCTCTGTGGGAAAAAGATGGGCAATCTCCTCCTGTGTGATTTACAGCCTCTGAAAGACTCCTGGAAGGTCTGCTATGGGTCAGTTCCAACTCAAAGATACACATCAGCAATAACAAAAATATTACTTTAAAGAGTCCTGCTAGGGAGCTCTGATGGCCCAGTGGCAAGAAGCTGCACTGCAATCTCAGAGGTATGCAGTTCAAGTCCACCAGATACTCTGCTGGAGAAGGAGGGGCAATCTCCTCCTGTACCAGTCAGATCCGATTTGACGGTACACACACACACACACACACAATAATAAAGTAAAAAAAGATTCCTGCTGGGTAACAGTAAGAACTTGATGCAAATGAAAGGTGACAGTTAGAATCCGTCCAGCAGCTCCATGGAAGAAAGGCCTGGTGACCCTCCCGAGAAAATGACAAGCTGGGACACTCCCAGAGCAGTTCTGTGTCATGGGGTCACGAGCCTGAGCTGGCTCGATGACCCAGTGACAACAGCGTTACTTACAAAGCCCAGCCAAACACTCTGGACTCAGCCGTTCAGCAGGGATCAAAGAAGTAAGAGTTCTATCCATGTCCTAACTATGTCTCCTGTCTCTCTGCTGTCACTGGTCATTCTGGTACAAAATACCCTTGTCCTGACCTACAAAATGGATACGTTGGTTTAGATTTTCAATTTTTTTGTTGTTGTTGTTTAAACCAACCCATTATTTTTCTTTAAACCATTAATGCCAACATCCTTTATGTGGACAACAAGGTCCTTGTAGACTCCAGTCCTGATCCAGTAAAATATTTCCCCTTGTTTTCAAACATTGTACATCTTTTTATAAAAAAAGTCCATTCACCAGCTGCCCGCAGCTTTTTTCTCCACCGAGGTCTCGGCATGTGTGGAACGTCTTCCGCATTTTGCCGTCCTCACACCGAGCGTGATCTCTGTACCAGCCTGAGGCCTGTCCTTCTTTCAGTTCTAAAGTGTCTACACTCCCTTCCTCGAGGCACCTGGATGGCTGTGCCGAGAGCTGCCACCAGGGTCAGGGCCACCAGTCCTGAGACAGCTCGGACACGCCCTGCTGGAGCCCTCAGCTGGGGACGGGCTCCTCTGTGACGTCTTCTTCCACACCATGCTCCTCTCTGTCAGCACCCCACCTTGGTTCAGAATTAGACTCAGTTAATCCAATAAAATTGCAATTTTATATGATTCTGTATAAAATACTTATTTGAGAGGTTTCTTGGTTAACATTTGTTCCTTCAACTAGACTGAGAAGTGACTGGTCTTCAATTTTATCTCCAGGGCATGACTCAATCCTGGCCAAGTGAGCACATACATGCACTAAAGCCCGGCCGCTGACTTCCACCCAGACAAGGTTTTATGGGGCGATTCACCCAGAACCCAACCCTGACAGAATTACCCATCCACTCAGACCACTTTAAGAATTTCCTGCTGTCAGTTGAGAGGGTCAGCATCATTAGGATTCCTTATTCACATTGAGTCCATTGTGCCTGCAATTTTATTCTCTTATATACTGTGC